CTTTAAGACTTAATTCTCTAAATGCTAACACACTTCACTATATCAGCAACACTAGGTGCCTCTGCAGAGGTGAAACTGATGGCTAAGGGCAAGGATGGGGGCAGTTTTTTTGTGTGTGAGAGAGTCTTGCTCTCACTCAGGCTGGAATGCAGTGGCACAATCACAGCTTTCTGCATCCTTAAACTCCCAGGCTCAAGTGATCCTCCTGCCTCAGCCTACTGAGTAGCTCGGACTACATGCACACGCCCCCATGCCTGGCTTATTTTTCTTATTTTTTGTGGAGATGTGGGTCTCACTATGTCACCCAGGCTGGTCTCGAACTCCTAGGCTCAAGCGAACCTCCTGCTTTAACCTCCCAAAGTGCTGGGATTATAGGAATGAGCCACTGCACCCAGAGGAGTGTTTTCACTATGTACCCTGTGTACCCTTTGTACCTTTTGGAATTTTTTACATGTGAATAGCTTGCTCACTCAAAAATTGATTATATTTTTCAGAGAAAAGTCATTGTTTTAGTTCAGGTTTCCCAGGAAACAAATGGGATTTGCTTTCAACAGGTAATAGTATGGAATGCTCTTGGGGACATCACTATGAGAAAATGGAGGAAGCAAGGTTAAGCAGAAGTTGAACTTCAATGCGGTTAGATGAAGTCCATAGTAATCACACAAGAAACTCTGAAGCTGGAATGGCCCTTCAAAATTGTCTCAAATTAAGGCAAAAGGGCTAGGCACTATATCCTACATCCACCAGTCATTGGAGGTAGGCGCCCTGAAAAGGAGTGTAAACTTGGGCGATACAGCTTCCTTTTGCTAAGTAGAGATCCCTGAGTAATGATCAGTCAACACTCCCAGGAGCTAAATGAATAAGTGCTCCAGCTTTTTGGTTTTTTTTTTTGTGTGTGTGTGTGTGTTTTAAGACAGTTTCGCTCTGTCGCCCAGGCTGGAGTACAGTGGCACCATCTGGGCTCACTGCAAACTCCACCTCCTGACTTCAAGCAATTCTCCTGCCTCAACCTCCCCAAGTAGCTGGGACTACAAGCCCGCACTACCACACCTGGCTAATTTTTATTTTAGTAGAGACAGGGTTTTACCATGTTGACCAGGCTGGTCTGGAACTCCTTACCTCAGGTGATCTGCCCACCTCAGCCTCCCAAAGTTCTGGGATTACAGGTGTGAGCTACCACACCTGGCCAAGTGCTCCGGTTTTATAAGGAATATATGGACTCTGGACTATGCACCACAGCATATACTATACCAGTGGTTCTTAAATTTCAGTATACACCAGAATCCCTTGCACTTGGCGGTCCCACCCTGTCTGATTCCGCAGGTCTGGGGTGGGGATAAGAATGCATTTCTAACAAGTTCTAAGTGATGCTGATGCTGATGGTCTAAGGATCACTTTGAGAAGAGTTATACCATATATAACTAGGTTAAATCCAGTGATGTTGAATAATTTTTTTTTAAGAAATATGGTCTGGTTCTGTTGCCTGGTTGGTGAGCAATGACACAATCATAGCACACTGCAGCCTTGAACTCATGGGCTCAAGTTCTCTGCCCACCTCAGCCTCTCAAGTAGCTAGGACCACAAGCAATGCACCACAGACTCAGCTAATTTTTTTCATTTAATTATTGTAGAAGCCAGAGTCTTGCCATGTTGCCCAGGCTGGTCTCAAACTCCTGCTCTGGTGGCTCATGGCTTGGCCTCCCAAAGCTTTAGGATTATAGGCATGAGCCACCATGTCCAGTCCAAAGTTGAATAATTTGTCAATGTTTATAGTTTATCATTTATAGATGGTAAAACATAAAATTCTCTGGTTAGACTGCTGTTCATGAGCTCACCTTTGCCTTTTTTTCTTTTCTTTTTATTTTTGAAGACAAGGTTTCACCATGTTGGTCAGGCTGGTCTTGAACTCCTGACCTCAGGTGATCTGCCCACCTTGGCCTCCAAAGTGCTTGGATTACAGGCATGAGCCACCATGCCCAGCCATCATCTTTGCCTTTTTTATAACCCTAGTTCACTAGAAACTAGACTTTATGACCACACTTGCTTTATAAAACTGTTAGTAGTCTGACTTTGCATCTATTTTCTTCAATCTGTGTGCCTCGATATACTTCTCTCCTCCCTAAACAAAATATATAAATCAGTAAAAGGATTACTATTGTCTATGATGAGAACCATTTTTCTTCAACCTAATTCCACGTTCATCAAAATCTGAATCAGTGACATGAAGGCTGAGGGGTATAGAGAGGTAAGAAAATGATTTTCCTGTTAAAAAAGGAAGTTAACATTTATTGGATATTTATTATGTGCTAGGTAGTTTCTCATACATTATTGAACACTTCTTTCAGTCCCTTCA